CCAGTTCATTCTAGGCAAATCTGGGCTCTTCTTTTCCAATACAGAATTCCTCCAGTAGCGTACTCAGGGAAGGTAACCATGCTGTGCTGGGGGCTTACAGAAGTTAAAGAACTGACATAAAAGCTCACAGCCACTAAGATGGGAACCTGTGACTTACTCAAGACCTGTGAACTAAGATCCTTGTAGTCTGAAGAAATGTCATACCACTTCACCCCATTAAGAAAACCCTCTCAGCCGGGCTCGGTGGCTCAGCCTGTAATTCCACACTTTGGGAGGCCGAGGTGAGTGAATTGCCTGAGCCTGCGGGTTCAAGACCTGCCTGTGTAACTTGGTGAGACCTCATCTACACAATAAATCAAAAAATTAGCTGGGCATGGTAGTGTGTGCCTGTAGTTCCAGCTACTTGGAAGGCTGAGGCAGAAGGATTGCAGGACCCCAGCAGGTCGAGGCTGCTTTGGCCAGGAGCAGCCACTGCACTCCAGTCTGGGCGACAGAGTAAGACTCCAACTCAAAAAGGAAAAAAAAAAGGCTGGGCTCAGTGGCTCAGCCTGTAATCCTGCGCTTTGGGAGGCCGAGGTGAGTGGATTGCCTGAGCCCACGGGTTCGAGACCCGCCTGGGCAACTTGGTGAGACCTCATCTCTACAATAAATCAAAATGAGCCGGGCGTGGTAGCACGTGCCTGTAGTTCCAGCTACTTGGAAGGCTGAGATGGAAGGATCACCTGAACCCAGCAAATCGAGGCGGCAGTGGCTATGAGCATGGCACTGCATTCCAGCCTGGGCGACAGAGTGAGACCCTGACTTAAAAAAAAACAAAAAAAAAAACCCACAAATAAAAAGCAAGTCATAAATCAAAAGAAGATAGCTAAAATACACATAACCATTTCATAATCATTTTATATAAATCACATTTGCAAAAAGTAAGAGGTTTGATAATACTAAGCACTGGAAATAATCTAGAAAAATAAGAATTCTCATAAACTACTGGTGGGAAAAGAAAGTAGAACAATCATCTCAGAGAGCAACTCTGCAATAGTTAAGAAAGATGATGATGCTCATATTCTATTAAGTCCCAGCCACTGCACCAGAGATATACACATTCTTGCTACAAACTATATTTTTCTAGTAATGACCATAGCAACATCCCCAATCCCACAAGCTCTTGCAGAACCTTGTTATGTACCATCAAGAAGTGGTATCTAGTCAGGAGCTATGGCTCACGCCTGAAATCCCAACATTTTGGGAGGCAGAGGTAGAAGGTTCCCTGAGCCCAGGGGTTTGAGATCAGACTAGGCAACTTGGCGAGACTTGTCTCTACAGTAAATCAAAAAATTAGCCAGGCATGGTGGCGTGTGCCTGTGGTTCCAGCTACTTGGAAGGCTAAAGTGGAAGGGTCACCTGAGTCCAGTAGGTCGAGGCTGCGGTGGCTGTGAGCGTGCCACTATACTCCAGGCTGGGCAACAGAGTGAGACTCCAGATCAAAAAAAAAAAAAGAAATAGTATCTATTTCCACTACCCTTAAACATATGGAGGACTTTCAAGTTGTTTTAAAAAAATAGGCTGGGCCCAGTGGCTCACCCTGCAATCCTAGCACTTTGGGAGGCCGAGGCAAGTGGATTGCCTGAGCCTGCGGGTTCTAGGCCAGCCCCAGCAACTTGGCAAGACCTAGTCTCTACAATAAGTCAAAAATTAGCCAGGCATGGTAGCGCACACCTGTAGTTCCAGCTACTTAGAAGGCTGAGGTGGAAGGATTGCCGGAGCCCAGCAGGTCGATGCTGGGGTGGCCGTGAGTGTGCCACTGCACTCCAGTCTGGGTGACAGAGAAAGACTCTGACTCAAAAAAAAATTAAAAAATAGAATGTGGCCCAAGTAATGCTATATGATTTTCACGGCCAGATCATAAAAGGCAATCTGACTCAGGGTGTCTTTCAAGATGCTAGTCCCTAGTACTCAGCCACCATGCTGCCCACATGGAAAACTGAAGCCTTTTAACTAATAGCCACCAGTCACACTGAACATGCCTACAAAGGACTTGGCCCTCCCCCAGCCTTTGAGTTTCCAGCTGAGGTCCTAGATATTACAGAGCAGAGATAGGCTGTCCCTGATGAACTATATGCCCAGTTCAAATTCCTGGACCACATAGTCCATGAGTTGAACATGTCAAGTTTTGACATAATCAATTTTGCAGCTATGGTTAAGTAGAACAATCCCTTCAGGCTCTTGCACACATTAGCATAAGGAGCCATGTTAGGAATGTTCATGGCCATGTTGCTCATATCAGCAAGAACAAACTGGCAAAGGAAACTGTGGAAGATCCATTTAATACATGATGACACAGGAATGAAAACAAATGTATTAGTGCTAACTACTACCACCTGGATGAACCTTAAAGTGAAAACAGTTGCAAAATAGTAAACACAGTATGAGCATTTATAAAACTTTTAAGATATGCCAAAGAAATAACACCAATTAAGGTCAGAGATCAGGCACAGTGGCTCACACCTATAATTCCAGTATTTTGGGAGGCCAAGGTGGGAGGACTTGAGCCCAGGAGTTCAAGATCAGCCTGAGCAACATAGCAAGACCTTGTCTCTACAAAAAAAAAAAAAAAAATCCAAAAAATTAGCCTGGTATCGTGGCATGCGCCTATACTCCCAGCGACTCAGAAGGCTGAAGCAGAAAGATTGCCTGAGCCCAAGAGGTCAAGGCTGCAATGAGTTATGATCATTGTGCCACTGCATTCTAGTCTGGGTAACAGAGTGAAATCCCAACTCAAAAAAAAAGGAAGAAAAGATAGAAAATTTAGAAGCCAGATGTGGTGGCACACACTTAATAATCTTAGCTACTTGGGAGGTTGAAGAGGAATAGCTTGAGTCCAGAAGTTCAAGGCTGCCGTGAGCTATGATTGCACCTATGAATAGCTACTGAACTCCAGCCTGGGCAATACAGTAAGACCTTAGGAAAAAATATACAATCTAAAATCTAATCCAGTTTTAATGTTATACAAATCCAAATTTTAAGTAAAAGTATATCCAAAATGAAAAAATTCTATCAAACCTGCTCTAAATCTGGTTTACAGCATTTAACTCTGCCAGACACACAGATGTTCAGTTACGGTAGCTTGAAAGTTGACTTGCTAGAACCAAAAAACCATGGCATGACACCATTGTTCTAAAGTCCTAACTTCTTGCTGCAAGACAAGATCCAACTGACTCCATTAGGATAGTATGTATTCCCAGTTACCGCAGTTACAAAAAAAACTAAAATAAACCTGGGAAAAAGTCATGATAGCCTATGAGAGTACAATATCTAAATAAATTACTTTTAGCTAACCATGTCATTAAGTTACCATTATTTGTTACTTACATCTTGAAACATTTTGTTTTCTTGTTTTAGTCTAGCTTCTTTATCATCTGAGAGTTTGTAAGCATTTTCAAAGGCTTCTTCTAAATCCTGCAATCTAGATTTTAGTCGAATGATGGTATTATCTTTTTCTTTATTACTAGTTCTCACTTCCTCAATTCGTTCCTGCAAAATTTTGGAGGCACTGCTGGCTGCGCTGAAGCGTTCTCTCAAATCATTCTACAATTAAAGATAAATATAATAAATTATTTTAAATGAAAAAAGATGCCTCAATAGTAGCTGGTAAACTGTGAGCATTAAAAAAAAAAAAAAGTACCAGCCAGGCACGGTGGCTCACGCCTATAATCCCAGCACTTTGGGAGGCCGAGGTAGGAGGACTGCCTGAGTCTACGGGTTCGAGACCATGGGACTTGAGCCCACGGGTTTGAGACCAGCATGGGCAACTTGGCAAGACCTCATCTCTACAATAAATCAAAAAATTAGCCAGGCACGGTAGCACGTGCCTATAGTTCCAACTACTTGGAAGGCTGAGGTGGAAGGATCGCCAGAGCCCTGCAGGTCGAGGCTGCAGTGGCCATGAGTGTGCCACTGTACTCCAGCCTGAGCAACAGAGTGAGACTCCAACTCAAAAAAAAAAAAAGTAATAAAACAAAGCATAAAAATGGAAAAAAACAAATTTAGTATTTTTGTTGAAACCTAAGATAGAGACTCTAGAAAGAATTATTCTACAGGAATAAAAGCCGATGAAATTATCATAAGGTAGACAGAAATCTGCAGAACTATGATTTTAGGACTCACCTAAGACAATAGCCCCTGTGGATCATTTAACAAGGAAAACAATAATCACCATGGCTATCAGAGAAATGATTCTAAAAGTGTAGCTGTTCTTTGTTGTCCTACATTAATATTTAGGGAAGAAAAAAGTATTTTTTAATATTCTATTCTATCACTTACTATGAAAACAAAAATTTCAAAGCCTAACTGCTATGTTTATATTATTCAACAATCATTTCTGGAATATCCACTAGATGTCAGGCACTAGGGTTCTAGAAATGTAAGATTAACACAAAAGACAATAATTTCTAACTTCATGAAGTTTAGGGAGAGACAATAACTTTAAAAGCAAAGACAAAACTTTGTTATAAAATCTTTATTATAAAGCTACAATAATCAAAACAGCCTGGTATTGGTACAAGAACAGGCATATAGACCAAAGGAACAGGATAGAGATTCCAGAAGCAAAACCTCAATTTCTCAATCAACTCATCTTCAACAAAGCCTCCACCACTAACCACTGGGGAGAGGAGAACCAACCTATTCAGTAATGGTTCTGGGGAAACTGACTGACCATATACAAAAGATTAAAATAAGATCCCTACCTATCACCATACACAAAAATCAACTCTAAATGAATCAAAGACCTAAACATAAAACCTCAAACTATAAAGAATCTTAGAAAATTTAGGAGACACCTCCTTATGGAAACTGGAATGGCAACCAATTCCTGATCAAAACCCCAAGTGCCCATGCCATAAGACACAAGATAGATAGGTGAACTTCATTAAACTGACATGCTTCTGCAAAGCCAAAGAAACCATCAAGAGAGCAGGGAAGGCCAGGCTCAGTGGCTCAGCCTGTAATCCCGGCACTTTGGGAGGCTGCGGTGAGTGGATTGCCTAAGTCCACAGGTTTGAGACCAGACCTCGTCTCTATAATAAATAAAAATTAGCCAGGTATGGTAGTGCATGCCTGTAGTTCCCACTACTTGGCAGGTTGAGGTTGGGATGGCCATGAGCGTGCCACCGCACTCCAGCCTGGGTAATGGAGTGAAACTCCAACATACACA